CTCTCTGAACCAGAGACTATATATTCAGAAGTGTTGATTTGTTAAGCCGTTAATGAATCCATCTGATACACTCTAGAATCAAGAAAGAAAGCACTTGAATATTACGTTCTCTCTCTGGTTCAAAAGCGTTCTTCTCAAGCCTGGTGATTCATGGTGATTTGAGGTTATGAATTCGAGAAGAACAATACAAGCTAAAACCAGTGGACATCAAGATCACGCAGCTGTTGGATGCAGTGTAGGATTCCGTCACGAAGCGGACTGCACCAGAGATTGATCTCCATGGAAGGGAGTTTCGTGGACCTCTTAGTGCGTGGATCTCCGACTTCACAATCCACTAAGTTCAAGGTAGATTGGGTACTTACCTTGTTTTGTAACTTGGGTGAGATTCATTGTCTCCACCTTTGTACTTTGAAGTTAGTTTAGTGGATTGGACGGATCAGTGATCGTTCCCCAGATGTAGATACACATTGTATCTAACTAGGTTACCAAATCTTGTGTTGATTCTTTACCTTTCCGCACTTTTCTTTATCTATCTATATCTCTGATTGTCTATCTGATTGGTTATCTGTGTCATAGTTGCACATATTCTGTTAAGATAAGAAAAGTAGGTAAAATCAGTTAAAATCTCCATTACACACAAAGTTACATATGGTATCAGAGCTTTTAAGTCTACATAATGACTTGATCCAAACGGGAAAAGATTTTTGTTGTGTTTTGGTATTTCTTCTTGCGTTTTTTCGTCTATCAGGTTGTGTTTATTGCTGGTTGTGCTTTGGCTGGTTGTCTGAGTGTATCAGGATGAAGGCAAACACAAAACCCCCTACTGTACAAAATGCTAATGGAACCACATCCGCAAAACCCATGGTGGAATGGTCTGAGGCTGAAATAATAACGTCAGATCTCAACAATAAAGCCCTGAATTCGATTGTTGGATCCTTGCATGAATCTGTTTTCACTGAAGTTACTGGTGTGAAAGAAGCAAAGAAAGCTTGGGAAATTCTTGAAACTCGTTATGATGGCACCAGCGATGTAAAGCAGTCTAAGATTCAGATGGTTCTGTCAGAATTTGAAGCACTGAGGATAGATAAAGATGACAATATCTCTAACTTCCACAGCAGAATTCAGAGTCTGGTGAATAGAGCTGCGTTCTTGGTGAACCGTTTCAAGAAGATTCTAAGATTTCTTCCCAAAAGGTTCCGGATGAATTGAAAGTGACTGCGATTCAAGAGAATGCTGGATGGGAAAAGAAGAGCGTAGGAGAACTGATGGGTAGTCTCAATACGTATGAGCTTGAGGTTCTGGCAAACGATAATCCGAGTTCTAACAAGCGTGGAAAGTCAGTAGCGTTCATCACCGAAACTGAGCAAGAATCTGACTTTGAAGAAGCTGAAGATGAATCCTTAGCCCTTCTAACAAAGAACTTCAAGAAAATCTTAAAGGGATTCAAGCGCAGAAATCAAGGGAAGTTCAATCGAAATCAACCCAAGGGTGAAAGCTCAGCAAATCAGAAACCAGGTTTAACTTCTTCTTCATCAAAATCTGGTCAAAGCTCTCGTCCAGGTCAGGCTAAGAACACGTTGAAATGTACAGGCAAAAATCTAAATCGATCTATTCAGTGCCGGGAATGTGAAGGTTTCGGGCACATACAATCAGAATATGCAACTTATTTAAAGTGTAAGAAGTCGATGATAGTTGCCACTCTGAGTGATGATGAAGAAGAAGATGCAGATCAAGTGTCTGATGAAAATACTAGAAACTTTGTTGCCTTCTTCACTGCAACGGAGATCCAGTCAGAACCAGATGAAGACGATGATGAGGCTTACATGTCTTCAGATTATTTTGAAGAGAAACACATTCAGTTAGAGATGGAATTTGCTAAACTTGTGGCTTGTTGGGAACAATTTGTGAAAGTTAACAAGAAACTGAATGAAGATCTGAGACAACGGGATGAACAGGTAAAAAAATTAAACACTGATTTAGTTTCTAAAGATGATCTTATTTCCCATATCAGATCCCAATCGCATGCCCATACATTAGGGTCAGTGCATATAGCTCTGACACGGCCCCGAAGCACCATGCTTGTACCGCAGCACAAGGAGATTGATCGCAACCAATCGATGAACCACAGCTCATTTATAACGTTTGATCGCAACCAAACTGTGGACCGCAGCCATATATATATATATATATATATATATATATATATATATATATATATATATACATATATATAACCTGTACAGCCGACCGATCGCAACCGGCCGGGTTAACAGCCGATGGTTCTCAACCCATCCAACTGCCTGTATAGCCAATTGATCGCAACCAATTGGGGTATCATGCACAAATAACACATAGCCAAGCACATGCAACCCACATGAACACATAAGGAGGGGGGGGGTGGGGGGGGGGGGGAATCATTGAGGAATACTTATCCTAATATAACTTATGCGTGGTCAACCACTTTAGACTTACTCAAGACACGCCTAAGGGGACATGCACCTTCCTCCTAGGCCAACAGGATACCAATTCAACTAACATGCAATATACAAGACTTCTTTTATCATAAGAACGATATCCGACACATCAAACTAGACTCATACACGACAAACGGGGTACGACGGGACACGGGTTAACATCTAAGTGGGAAAAACACCACAATGCACACAAGGATTCCAGCGGGTGGCCGGCGGGTGGAGGGCCACCCGCCGGCGGCAAGTCATGAGGCAGCGGGCAGGCGCCAAGCGGTGTTTATGGACAACGGGTACCCCTGCCCCCGCCTACCCCCCACTGACTCCTATGTAATAACTCGGTCCCGGGATCCCTCGTGGAACCCGAAACCATGTCCAGACACGTTTAAACATAACAATGATACCACGTAATCAAGTAATGGATTGAAACCAAGAATCACATCAAATACGTCCTAACACGACTCCTAAACATGTCAAGACTCAACACCCGAACATGCAAAATCCCTCCCAAACATACCAAGAATAACACAATACGAAATCCACGTTTTAACCCTAGGGCTCTAGTCATAACTAAAATGCAAGATCATTTATATAATTTATCTTAGAATCAAGAACATCAAGATTATCACATAAGCATCAAGATCAACACATAAACATCAAGATCATCTCATAAACATCAAGATTATCTCATAATCATCATATCAATCTCAGGAAAAGCCTTATCAAGATGCAAACACAGAATCACATATCAAAGGAGCCAATGAAGGAGATTATAGCAAGGAAAATAGGTTTTGTTGAGACATGGGTTACCTCTTAGCCTTAATTAGAATCCTTGGCTACTAAGGTTCTTTCTCTATGATCTCCTCTTCGTGATTTCTCCTACGTTTGGTGATAGGGAAATTCTTGAGAATTCTTGTGTGGTGGAATCTATTGTGGTGTGATTTCTAGGTGCCTCCTAGGTCCTTATATATATTTAAGAGTCCTGATTAAGGTCTGAAAGGTAGGGATTCGCTTATTCTATTCCTTATAGGACTAAGGGTTTGGTTTAGGGATAAGGGTCCATGATGCATGGTGGACCCTTCTCAATTAATTAAGGGAATTCAATTCTCTTTTAATGGTAAGCAATTAAATAATTAGTTTGGGTTAGAGGCCGTAACACGGGGTGTTACATCTTTGCTCTAAAAGCTTACCAGTCCTCGAATCAGTGGCTCTATACAGTTTTTCTGCCCCCTCCGTCAAGCTTTAATCTTGTCCGTTCATTTAAATTTCAAAAATCAGATGAAGGACATGTCAGTTTCGCTCTTCTAGGGTTCTAAATCATCAGCCCTTCTCTTCAAGAATCTCTTCTGAAACAATGAGAGACCCAGTTGTCATCTTGATGATTAAGGAATTCATGAAAGATCACTCACCAGAAAATGCTTTGAAACATGTCAGATCACTTCTGTCGATGTGCATAAAGAAGAAGCTGAAAATTGACCCGGTCCTCAGAGATGAGATCATTTTGACAGTAATCACAAGCTATCCTGAGTTTCTAGAATGTCTCTCAGTCGATGATACATCCTCATTAATGGTTCTAGCTGCTGATATCGAAGAAGACGTTGTCTCGGCTACCATTGCTGAACCTGTGGATGGAAACAGAGCTGGTGCCTTCCTAAAGTTCTTTGGGCAAAAAGCTCTTGAATGGAAATCGAGTGTTCGCAACTGTATTGCTGCACAAGAGCATGCATTGGAACAAGCTCAGGACCTAGCTCGTCAACGAGTCAAGACTCTTTAGAAAAGGTCTAAATTTTCTATCCCCTCTGTTTCTATTTCATCTGATGATAAACCTGTTCATGAATCCGAGTCTGCCCTAGTAGCTCCTTATGTATCTAAGTCAAGCATGCATGTGTCTGAACCTATTGATGTGGATATTCATGCATCTATTTCTGAGAATGTTGATATTCCTGTATCTGAATCAACCATGTCTAAGTCTGTTGAAATTGATGCATCTAAGGTGTATGTTGATTCTGATATTGTCATGACTGATGTGACTTTGTCTGTTCTTGTTACTGTCATACCTTTAAGTGTTCAACCTGTTTCGCAGTCTACTCAAATTGACTCTGAGTCTGGTATACCTGTGTACACTCCTAAAACATCCCTAGAGTTACTTGAAACTGCAGAGCACTTTGCAAAATTTCCTACTGAGTCTGTTCCTGAACCCTCTCATATTCTTCAAACCAAGTCAGTTAATATCCCGGTTGATCAGGATGACGATCTTCTTCTGACTCATCTTGTAACACCCCCTAAAAACAAGCTATTTAAAAGACTTAAACATGCAGATAACTGAACTAAACAACAAACACAGCGGAAGACTGAAAGATAACTACATAAACATAAAGCCAAATCACGGGGTGTTATGCCACGTTCACCAAAAAGGATGAACGCTACGGCAACATCTACAATGTTTACATCTAATCCATAGTCTCAAAAGGCTACAACTAAACTGGCACACAGGCCATAAGACAAATGGGAGAAGCTACACTAGCAAGTACTAGACTGCGCACTCGCCTAGACATCACCTGATAGAACACAATAAAACATGGGACGACGCCCGGTCAGCGAATAATGGTGGTAACCCACCAATACATGTGAAATATCATACATAGATAAGATATAAGTTGTAAAGCCATTTTCGAAACGGAATACATAAGTATATAAGTACAAAATCAAGATCAATAGTCAACACAAGACCCAACACTCTCAACAAGGATACGGGAACACATCCCAAAACCACAAAGGATAACCACAACACAAAGGACAAAGACAAGACCAATGACAACACATGCCTTGGTGACTACACACGTCACAAGAAGAGAACTCACAACCACGGCTACACAAGCCCTTGTGACATCACTCATCACGAGTTGATATGCCTTCCTTATGCCCGGTTCCAACCGTATGGCTACCCCCAACCTTATATCTAGTTCCAACCTTTACCTCCATGACCCCTGTACACCAAGTCTAACCATATTCCCCCGGGAACCGTCGTTCCCCCTCCAACAGTCCCTCCAACAAAACAACCGATTTCATAGTACACGAAGTACCGATCACACATGGCAACACATGCCCTGGATAACACATGTTATCCCAGGAATAAACACGTAAACCTTACACAAAGGCAACAAACTCCATAATCACGTCACGGCCACCACGAGGACCGCTGCAATACCTTGGTGACTAGTGTCCCTTACCACTAATCGTGCAATCCAGGTAAAGCCACACACACATCACACCACAACAGGAATCAATCAACGGATCACAACGAAGATATGAAACCATACAAAATCAAGGAATGGGTCACAGCCCAACAACAACAACAATGAATAACACAAGTTATCATCAACCAATAGGAAGGTACAAACAACACACACGCTAGCATTTAAACACCGAACTATCATGCTCATCAAACGGGTAAGCCAAAGGGAGTTCCAAAGAACACACAAGACTCGTCACGGTTCAACGAAACACAATGTTGAACATTTAACACGATTCAAGACACCAAAACCTACATGGAATCCTACCATATAGTTCTAGACATACGAAACATCAAGAAGACACTCAAATAGTTCCACAAAAGAACAACGGGAAGTCAAAAGACCAAATACCGAGTCAAAAGAATCACGGGGAACAAATCCCCCAACAACCACAATAGTGTACCCGCGGGTGGACCCACGGGTGATGCCCCGCCCGTGGTTCCACCTGCAGGAACACACTCCCACAAGCCTTGTACCCGCGGGTGGGCCCACGGGTGGTGCCCCGCCCACCATTCCGCCCGCGGGTACACGTCTTGTACCAAAACAATCCCTTCGGGGATTTTCATCTCCAAACTCAAATTCAAGTCCAAAACATGCAAAATCTCACCAAATACAACAAAATGACTTGAATTTAAGGAAATGCCAAGCAATGGCACAAAAGAACCCTAAACACAAGCTCTAGATATGCATTTTCACAAGACAATGCATAAACACTCACATTTCATAGCAAAACACATGTAGAATCCAAGAAATCACATATAGGCAAGCAAAATAGGTTTTGTAGAGCATGGGTTACCTCATTCGCTTAACATCCAAAAACAACGCCAACTTTGGCTATGCTCAACTCATAAGCCAAACGGGAACCTGTGAATCAAACTGGATTCTCACTAATTAACAAGAGCACTAAACAAAACTAATTATGCTCATAAAGGGAATTAAACCCTAGATCATTCTTTAATTACCCACAAGCTCAACCAACTAAGCTAAGGATACTATTATAACCAATACTAGCATATGCCTTTAGCAAGGATTAAACCCTAACCAAACACAACCACAACCACCACCCTTACCACTAAGCTAATAACTCAATTAGTAACATAACTAAGCAACAACTAACTAATACTAAACTAATCAACAAAACAAAAGAAAGGAGCAGCTCACCATCTTCTTCTTCATTCTGCATGCTCACCAACCCGCGGGTAGATGAGCACCTCCACCCGCGGTTTGCGTCACCAAGGAGCACCGCCATCACCACCGGAGCCTCACCGTCACGTTGTCCTCGCCGGGGAAGGACCCGTTCGCCGTAGCTTCGCCCAAACAGCTACCGCCACGAACCGCCAACAGCGCTACGATCTTCCGGACTGCCGCCGTTGCTTTGCTGGAACAGAGGAGACGGTGGAGAGACTGGTCACTAGAGGGAGGAGACTACATCGCTGGATGTTGTTTGCTCGGTCCACGCTGCCGGAGAAGCCACTGCTCCACTTCTCGTTGTTCTTCTTGTCAACGCCGGCTGCTTCGTCGGAGGGGAGAGAACGAAAGAGAAAAGGGTGAGGTGGTTGTGGCCTTCATTACTGCTGCTTCCAACTCTGCCATTGCCATGCGTCGCCCAGCTCTGCTTAGGGAGAAGACTGCCATGGCTGCTACTCCATAGCCGTGAAAGAGAACTCCGGAAGTCCGAGTAGCTCACCTATGCTTTGCTTGATGTCGCCGGAGCTAAAGTCGGACTCTTCGGCTGGTAAGAAGGAAGGGGGAAGAGAACGACGTACACAGGGGAGGCGTTTGGCTGCTGTGTGTAGGAGTTCCAAGAGGAGAATATACAATACAAACCTACACACTAGGATAGTAGGGTTCATAATGGGTTGGGTTAGACTATGTATGGATTTTAGGCCAAACATCTTGGGCTCATAAAATAACAACACATGTATTCATATATATATATATATATATATATATATATATATATATATATATATATATATATATATATATATATATATATATATATATTATATAAGATAAATAATTTTATTAGTTATATTGTCTTTAGTTTTCTTCAATATAAAAATTCTTTATATTCAAATTTATTAATTGATTATATTCGCTACATTGTCCTTACAATGTCTTTATTCAGTGAAATTTTTTTTATTAATTATCAATAAATTAATTAAAAGAAATATTTTCATTAGTTATATTATCTTTATTTTTCTCAAATGTAAAAAATTTTTTAGATTCAAATTCATCAATTGATTATATTCACTACATTATCTATTATCTTTTTTGTGCACTATTTTTCTAATTAAATATCAAAGTTATAATATAAAATAATGTTATATATTTATTTATCAAGTATTTTATTAATACCATGAAAAAATTAAAAAAATATAATTAATAAAGCCAACCATGTTAACTACTTTTGAGAGATTTTGTGACAAAGAGAGTATTCAAATCACACAACAAATTGAAGTGAGAACTACCTCGCAATGTCCTTGTTTGACAATCAGCAGTTAGCCGTTAGCGTTAACGGATTATACTAGCGGATTTGACCAGCGAATTTATTTAATTATTAACATTGGGTAGAAAAAATGACCGCCAAATTATTAAATCAAATGAATGGTTCATATTGTTCAGGTTTTAATTTTTTTCTTTTAAGATTTTATAATTTATCCTTAATTATATGATTATCCATTTAACTTTTCCGTTAATTCACCGTTAGTATAATTCTAATATTAAAGTCTAATATAGAATTATAACTACACCATTAATTTAATTCTAATATTAAAGTCTTAATAGAACTTAACCACAAATCCTAATGTCGGAATCTCCTCAAACAATATTAGTATATATTTAATATTTTATGCCCTAATTTTTATTTGTTCTCCCTTATGTCCCGTATTTGGTTTCAACCATACCTATACAATTATTTTATTGACAATTATAATCAATATTGACTATATTATCTTGCATTTGTAAACTTAGAATTACCTATTTAACCCGCACGAGCTTAGCTCAATGGTGTAGTGGGTAGTATTTGGGAGAAGAGACCAAGGTTTGAACCTCGGCGGCGGCAATGCAGGAATTATGTCCAAAGTGGGTATGCTAAACCATTGAGTCACCGTGATTTACAACTTCCCACAATGCTCTGTCGGGTCGGAGTGTGGGGGGGCCCTTGGGATTGGGGACTCAACCTTTGGGAGAAGAATTACCTATTTAAATACGCAAATTCAACTTTCAATTATCTATGCACGAACGATTTCAATATAATCTTGCCTTAATATACCTTAAAGTACTTATTTAAAAAAAAATCATTGGGCATTATCCCAATCGCGCAATGCGCGTAAAAAACTAGTATGTATATATATATATATATATGGGCTTAACTAGACTTGGGTTGGGTTAAGGTTCAAGACCACACTTTGGGTTGCTTAATTCTTTTGAATCAAGGATCATACAAAATATATAAATATATTTTTGGCTTAAGGTATTTTGGTAATAAAAATCATTTTGGGTCTAGGCATATTTTGTACAAAAATATTGGTTCACCATAATAGGTAGACCCGGGCTCATTTAAAAATAAATAACTATATAAATATTTTTATTAAAATATTTAATACCGGGACGATAATTAATTTTAGGGAAATACGGGGTGTCACATCCTCACCCCCTTAAAAGAAGCTTCGTCCCCGAAGCTAGAAAAATCATTTTGGGATAAGTGTGTCACAAAAATACGATAATATATATATAGAAAAATATTTTACGGGCATATATATACATATATATACTCTAGGTTTTGGGAAGAGATTTGGTTCGATAGGTTAGAAAGGGTGGAAGGGTATAGGTTTTAAACTCAAGGACACGATGGTTGGTAAGAAAAGATGATGAGAGTTTAGGTTCCAAACTTGAGACAACGTCAATTAGGAATAGGATCGAAGTAACTAAAGTTGCAACTTAGGAAATAAGGTTGCCACCTTGCACAGAATCGTTTGAAATGAAGGGTCAAGAACGAGGTTTGAAAGAATTGAAAGGATTTCCTAACGAAAGGTACTAGATTTAGGCTCAAGGATAGCGTAGATTAGAAAGGAAATCAAGATTTTCAAGGTTACAACTTAGGAGAACGAGGTTGCCACCTTGTACATGATCAAATTAAGGAGGAAACAAGAACGAGATTCGAAGAGATAGGAAAGATTTCTCGGAAAGAGACATTTGGTTTGACAAGAAGAGGGGAGAAAAACGGCTTAAAGGGGGTTAAGAATTCTCGACTTCAGGCGACTTCTTCAACTTGACGCTTCGATCACTACACCTTTGACTAACTGAAGGTTCCCAACCTTGATTCTGACGCGTTCCCACGCTAAGACCTATATCGGACCCTCTTCGTAAGCTGAGATCACAAACATCTTCACCCCAAACCCTTCTTCAAACGCTGGTTTCTTCTTCAACTTTGTTATAGCCGAGCGAAACTCACACGAACCAGGCAACTGCGAGTTGACTTGCTTCTCTTATCGGTTTTCATCATTGCGTTAGAAACGAAACTCTTAGCAACCTTCCTTGATCTTCTTAGAGATTCGGCTTGTTGTCCGTTCTAGCTAACACACGATCGGTCGAAACACTAAGCTCCCACTTCGGTTATTTACAAACCAACTTTCTTCTTTAATGCACCTGAAGATCGTTGAGGTCTAAGCTCCCACATCATCCTTGTACCTTCCTTAGCATCGTGAACCTTGGTACTTCTAAATCTCACAAAATCTTGTAAGGAGTCCTTTGAATGCTTGACAACAACCACCTCTGAAAGGGAAACTTGGTCCATCGTTAGAGCACAAACCGCGGCTTTCATAGACCCATAGCGCAAGTTCCCAACTTGTCTTCTTGATCTGTATGATTCTTTCCCATTAACCATTTAAAACCGGTTGGATTGTAGAGCTCAACTGTAACCTTAAGCCAAACGCAAACGGTAGAACTTTTCGTTAACTGAAGTCTTTACCAAGACAACGTCTTGAGATAACCCAGAATTCCTTACTCAAAGATTTGCTCATGCCTTTACTAGAAGCTTAATATGTCGAATCTTGTACACTATTGTTAACCGGCAATCTTCATAAGGTAGTTGGCTACAAACCAACTTGGTTTTCTCTTGACTTGATTAACGGTAGGTCTTCCTTGAAAACTTTGTTCCGGCGCGAACATGACCTACTTATGAAGGTCCAACGGTAGAATCGGTCTTTAGGTTGATCTCAAACTGTCCTTCCTTTTACTGTTCAAACTTCCCAAACAAGATTAGTTACTTCTCGTTCCTTCCTGGTTTTAGATAGATCTTTTACTAGGGATCATCGGCACAGAGTCCCACTTGCAACTTAGGAACACTCGGTGATCAAATCCGTCTTTGCTTTGCTCTTGTCGGTTTGAGTCTTCTGATGGCCCCAACGATTGTTTGCAACTCGGTTACGGATTCACTTCTTCTTGTTGCCAAACCTTCTTACCAAAAGTCTTCATGCTTAGACATAACTTTCCAGGTGCGCCGAAAATGATAGACGTTACTCTCATTCCCCAACTACTTCTTAACCTCTTCACGCTTCACAGGGTCGGACGACTTGCCGACAGCGATGCTCTTCTCTTCCATGCACTTTAGAGGTCCAAGCTTTTCATGCATGGTCATCTTGATCTTTATTACTTCCAAGTTGAATGCCTCGAACTTGACCACTCCCGGTTTCTTCGAAGGTAGGTAGAACTACTTCCATGTTGGACACTTCGATCTTACACTTCAACTCTTCGTGCTTTAGAAAGGTCCAAGATCGACTTGTAGCTCTTTAACTCTAGGAGACTTCAAACATGTTGATCCACGAATGACCTCTTGGCGTGAGTTGACATCTTCTTAGAGCGTCTGGGACCTTGACGTCCCCTCGCGAGTGAGGGTCTTCTAAACTTGATCTTCGAACTCTAAACGACGTCTTACTTCTTATCGGACTTCGGTTGCACGAAACGGTGACTTCAACTCTAGGATTAGCGTGAAACTGATGACGATGTCGTACGAGAAACGGCGCCACTTGCTTGAACGGAGATTGTTGTAGCTGACTCTAGGTTGCGAGTAGAGTAGTCCATCTTCTTTGCGTTGACCACGTTCTCAGCTGCAACCATCACGACTTGACTATCTTGTGTCAGCAGATCTTCGGTTTTCTTACTCTTTAGCCGCAAACTTTGGTAGGTCTTCAACGAACCCAAAACGAGGCGACTTAC